GCTTTTGGATGCCTTTCCTTTTCAGAACATAAGCATCCATGTGAAGATAAACTCATAATGCCAACCAAAAATGCAACTAATCAGAACATAAAATTCTATTACTGGAAGTAGGCAACTAATACAAGAGAAAATGGCATTTCTTCACCCTTGAGTTAAATAGGTTTACATTAGCCTGATTACTTTACATTGTTTAAGTGGAAATAATAATTTTAAAAAATTACACATGTTAAAAGATGGAAATAACAAAACACTAGACCTAAGATTTGCTAACACCATGCTCACAAAAGCAACAAGGATAACATTAATAATAGATAAATTGGCAACATATCTTTGAAGGAGTATGCTTAAGTTTTACTGTCTTTGAAGAACTGTGCATTTTTATGCATAATGTATAAAGTAAACTTTCCAGTCTCACAGTGGGAAGAAAATGTTCCACTCCTAACAACTCCAAAATGTTTTCCAAATACATCTCCATTCTTATTATTTCACCCAAAGTAGAAAAACAAACACTCCTCAGGTAGCAAAATCTTTCTCTTTTATCATGGATCAAGATAAATTAGAAATGTTCTCCTTTCCCCTTCCACTGTAGTTTTAGCCTGTTTTTGGAGTGATTTGTCTTCCATTGAATCTATAGTCAAGATGCTGTTGACAAATAGAAAACAGTACATTGCTGTTCTCATCATTTTAGATGGCTGTAAGGAAAAAATATAGATAAAAATTCCTAAGTGCCTCCAGTATTACTCCAGTTAAGAAATCCCAGCCATACTTCACAGCAGCATGAACTAAAGTATTTGATGTGGGAAGCAAAGAGTTAGTTTCATTTCTTTTCTTCATGAGTAAGTCAAATCAGAAAAGCCTTTCCCAGGTTACAGACTCCTTTTTGAGATATTTTAATACTGGGAACATTTCATAAGGGAAAACTCTCTTCTATCTTGATATTTTTGGAGCTGTAGGTTATGATACCACAGCATTCATTCAAAATGCTCTAAAATTTGAGAGTTAAGCAAGGACATCTCTCGGGGCCCATCTACAGAGGGAAGCTATTGCAAAATAGGCTAAGGTTTAAACTTGAAGTATACCCAGCTATTTCACACTAACTCCTAAGGTGAAGATATTCTATATTAAGAGCACTTCGCTGCAATTTAATCCAATCCCCTTGAGTGATGTGAAAAATGGCTCTCTTTTTGTAGGCTATCAGTGTTCCAATGTAAGGCTTCTCTAAAACAGATACTGCCAGAAGACATCCCAGTAGTTTCACCTATAGACACAAACATATACATGCAATAGTACACATTATATAATGCTTGTAAGGACTCTAAAACACCTCAGCTAGATTATGAATTAAATTTAAATAGATGGCTATAATACTATACTGGCATAACACTTACATTAATCTTCTTTTTGAAAACAAATGTAAATACTAATTGACAGGTTCATTCTTATCACATACACAAGGCTTTCAATACCAGACTTTGCAAGGGTTCCACTCACAACTGTCCCAAAAACCATTTGGCATTTTAATGCAGAAAACTGATAGAAAAGGCTCAGGACTCCCACAGGTTCAAGACACTGCTGTGCATGTGTTAAACTTTCCAGGGAACCCCAAGATCAGAATGCTGGAGTAAGCATCCCTGCTGGAAAAAGGCACCTCTATTTTTATGTATCTACCTCAAAAATGTACATGTGTTTTTCCAGCCACTATCTGATGTCTGCTATTCATAGAAGCTGTCTCAACCTCCCATGGGATATTCAAAAAGAGATTCATTAAGAGGTGGCAAATGAACCTGAAGCCACCTTTCAGTACAGCAAGGGCACACAGCTGTGTGCCCTAACACCACCAGCTACACTCTATACTTGAGAAACCTGCAATACATAATGTATACACAGGCAGACTGTTCTGCAGCAGCACCCTCTTATGAGACATTTCTGACCTGGAAGAAATAACTGGCTGGGGTGGGAAGAGGAAGGGCAAAAGAGGAGTCTCTGACTTTTCTAAGAGGTTCCCAAAACCCTGAAATGAAAAACTAAACATTGCAGTGCTTGGGTATTTAGTCTTGATCCTTGCACTTATACAAGAGAGATGCCAGCACCTTGACCCCTTCTCCTGCCTGAAGGGGGGTAGAGCAAAAATCAAGAGCTGGGCATTGGCACCAGTGGGAGAAAATAGGGTGAAAAGAAGATTACAGGTCTTGAGAAAGTGTAAACACAGGGACCTCTGAGCAATGGGAGATGAAAAGTATCTTTGGGTATCTCACTCAACGGGTGCTGGATAGTCAGGTGCTCTGAACTAAAAAATTAATTCAGAATAGTATCACATTCACCTTGCCCAATCTGCCCTTTTATACTGTTGCAGAGGATAGGATCTACTGGCAACAGCTGAAAGGAGGCATGATGGAAAGGAGTGACAACCTGTGCTTTCAAGCTGAATCTGGCCTCTCCTGTTTGTTTTTTGGCTATACTAGCTAGGATCAGCACATATACGAGGACTTGCATCAACTGGAGAACTTGTGAAGCATATCCAATAATACCCTAATAATAATCATTATCATCATCAAAATAATACCCCACCAAAACAATAAAATAAAAAAAAAACTCAGAGAAGGTCTTTAAGTCAACAGTAGAAGACTACCAAGTGTAAGACTCAGATCAGATGCTTTGCATGAAGAAAAATATGACATCCTCCCTCAATTAGGCTTTTTCCTGTATCAGTGCAGGAAATCACTAGGAAGCCCAGGAGGCATTTGTCTTCACATCATCTTGCCCTGACCACAGTACAAGTAGTGCAGCTCTCCACAACTGGGATTTGCAGCGACAGCAAAGATCTTGAACATGGTGCACAGTGTAAGAAGGACACAGATCTGCTGGAACAAATCTAGAGGCACTGGAACAGGCTGCCCAGAAGTTGTGGATGCTCTGCCCCTGGCAGAGGGGTGGGAACTGGATTATCTCTAGGGTCCTTTCCACCCCAAACCATTCTATGATGATGGCCACAAGTATTGGGAAAATGCCCATCATAAGTTTTCATCACATTTTGCAACAAAGCGGTAAATAAATAAATAAATGAACCTCCCCCCCAAAAAGGCCCACAATACATCACAGGGAAACAACCACAGCTGCAAGCAGTGAGCAGAGAAGGCACCTCAGCCAGCAGCTGGAAGGGCTGGAGGCAGTGAGCTGCCCTTACTCAGCAGGATGGATCACATGCATGGGTTCTATTTGGGTGCATGCTCTTCATACTGCTGAGGAAAGCAATAGGCATCCGTGCAAGACCTTAGGCTTTCTCCTGCATTGGCTGTTGTCATATTTATGAACAAATTATCAAAGGAAAAAAAATCTCAGACAAAAAACCTGAACTGATAAGTCCATAAACCACTAATTAAGTAGTTAACTGGCTGCCATACATAGAAAATGGTTTAGAGCTGCCGAAGTGGCTTCCCTCAGGCTACAAAGCAAGGAATATAGAAGCCAGGATTATTAGTTACTGGTGGTCCCTATCCCCAAAAGCTATTTTTTCCTGTAAGAATCTGCTTTTATGAAATACTGGATTTTTTTCTTTACAGAAATTATTAGTATCCAGATTAAAATACAAGTACTAACAAAGATACTATTGCTATACAGAAGAGACAGCTAAAGAAGTAACAGAAGTAGCATGGTGATATTTAAGTGGAACATACTATTTCAGCAGCACCAATGTATAAATATGAAACTACAGCCTCTGAATTAATAGAAAGACTAATACTAGGAGGCTGACATTTTGAAGGGGCAGGAAAAAAATATTAAGAAATCAGGAAGTTACATCTGTGGCAGAGAAAACAACCAACCAAGAGAAAAACATGTGGATTAAAGCAAATTTCCAAACAAGTTTCACAAAAGACAAACCAGTTAAGGTCTGTCTCAGAGAGCAGGATACAGCAACTACCATCAACCCTACCAAAACCAGGGGAGGCTTAGTTGGGCACCATAATGGTTGCTGATACACAAAAACCAAGAACAAAGTGTATCATGTCTGATACTTTAAATCAAAGTGTGCAGTGAGAGAGAATTTCACAGTTTGTGCAGCTGGCAATAGGAAAGTAAGGTTTATTTCACTATTTAGTGATGAGGGCAGGAGCACATCTTTCCATGGGAGACATACTGATATGTTCACAGTTCAGGAGCAAATTCATAGATTTTTAAATATATAAACATTGCAAATTCATGAAAGGACTTAGATCCACAACATGTTAATTTTAAAAAGTAGGGAAAAGGAAAAAAAGAAATCTCCATTTGAAGTTTGGGGTAGCAGGTTGTTAAAACTCCCATTGCTGCAATTCCAAAGTCCATTACTGAAGCCTTGTGTTCAGCAGGAAGTTCATAAAGTTGTGCTCAGACTTATATTTACTAAGAGGTTGTTCATGGGTGACAGGGTCTGAACATTTTTAGGTACAGTAGATGCTTACAATGCTAAATCTTGCCTTAGGGAACAATCTATTAAGAACACACAGAGAAACCAAAAATATCAAGGGGATTCACTAGACAAAAGACAGAAGAATTCTATGGAGTAAATCAAAGATCGTGTACACAAAAATAATGGGACTAGTACATAAGTAGCCACAATTGTGAGCTCAATTTCAACTTGGAAACCATTTAAACATGTCACAGATAAGACAGAATGATAGATGAATTACATGACTGGTTGTTTCCTGAAACCTGCCAAGGACCCACCTGTTCATGTCAGATTCCAACCACTAAACAAACAGAACAGAATTGAAATTTAATTTCTACTAAGATGAATGCTGTGCAATTTTAGATAGCCGTGTTATGTAAAAAGATATTGCATTAAATACTTTTCAGACAAATAACAAGATAGCCCAGACATAAGGAGAGAGTGTAAAAATGAAACTGAACTTATACAGTAATTGAATTATTTTCTTCAGGAGTGAGATGTAGCTTCAATTAATGCCACATGGTTAAACAGGTCAATAGAAACTAAGGGGAAAAAGAGAATATGCTATACTTACAAGAAAATAGGAAGTAAAGAACACTGGGAAGAATACAGGGAGATGCTAAAACAGATAAAGAACGGGTATTAGAAATGCAAAGTAAAACTCTGAAGTTCTCATAGTTACAGATGCTAAACACAAATTATTTTTCCAGTGATAAAGAAAAAAAGGGAGAGGAGAATTAGACCAAAATCAAAAGTGAAATGTAGTGTAAGCTACAAAATCAATTAATGCAGTCAATTAAAATACTAGTGGTGAAACCAGCATGCCATAAGAAATCAGAAAAATATTTATAATGGGCATGAATATATTGTACATACAACAAATGACAGACTAAAAGGATTGACCATAGCAAGACTGCTGACTGACAGTAAAAAAAGAGAAACAGACAAATGTGGTAAGTTTATATGGGAAATGTGTCATAAGTGAAATACCTCCAAGACTACCTTGTTTAAAGACTAGCAAATTTGGTAGGTACTTGGGTTAATAAAATTTGTAGTGATGTAGTTTCAGATATACGTAGAAGAAACACTTTTTTAAAAAGACAGCCTTAAACCTCTTCTGTTTATTTCTGTTTATAAACAAGACAGCTCTCAAAGTCAAGTTTCAAAAGTGTCCTTCCAGTTAAAACCTACTGGAGATCCAAAGCAACACTCAGGAGAGCCATACTGGGTATCAGAAAAATTTCATCTTTTTACAAGATGAAATTTGTTGTATATTCATTATATTCATATTTGTTGTATATTAATTACTTGGAATATATTTTACCAATATTTTGCAGTTTCATACCATACAAATTTTGAATCAGAAGCTTCCCTATAATATATACTTACATATGAATGTCAGGATTTAAAAATAATAACCTCATCACAGCAGCAACCCTATTTTGCTCAGCATTGAAACTGTACACATAGAATTATTCTCAGTTCTGCCAAGTGGGAAATATGTTTAAAACTAAAAATTTTCTGCCTAAAATTACTTTTGCTTCCTAAAAATCCTAAAATGGGACACTCAAAAATGGAAACTTGTAGCAACAAAGATGTAAGGGTTTTGTATAAGGATGTTCTGTGGACACTCTCTGTCACTGGCAGCTTGATATACAGAGTTATAAGAAACTCTGCATCTCCACTTGATCTCAGAATATGTCTCCACAGCAGTAATGTGTTGCCTAAGATTAACACTTGACTAGAACAAAAGTTATTGCTTAGAGTTTTCCATTTCGTTTTTATCTATACATCAACATATTTGCATTTTGCAATCATAAACATCTTGTCTTTTCTCAGTTATGATACTTTATGACTTTTCCACACCAGCTACATCACAAAAGATACCACACCATTAGATATTTCCCCCTACAGCTCAGTTGCTGTTGATTGATAGCTCAAATGCTATCAATCTCAAAGACTTTTAAGCTGCTGTTTCGAATCATCACAATTAAGAAAAACGTTGCAGTGGGATCATCCTTTTCATTAATTTTTAAACTAAATTATAAACTTACTGAAATTTCTAGAAGAATTAATGTGGGGTTTGTTTTTTAAAGAGGAATTACTTCCCTCCTGACCCCACCTGTCACCCCACAAAATCAGCTAAGAGACTACAAGCAAGAAGCAGCAAGATCACATCTTTGCTCATATCAGACCAACACTGCAAACAGAGTAACCTAGTTCATTCCTGATACAAGGAGAAGCCTGCTGCATGGATGTCCTCAGGCTTGATTACCCTTGCTGCAAACCTGCAGTCTGTTTAGCCGGAAAATTCAGGAAGATCACTCCTTCCATAGGCCTTAGCATACTCCTGGGCAAGCAGCACATACTGAATTACTCTGAGGTACTTTGTGTATCAATCTAGTTTACATAACATCAAAATTAAGATTTGTTTCCTTTCACTGCTCTGTTTCTTCCTTGTATAGCTTGCCACATCAGAAACAAGTCACTTATAGCAGGTATTTCTGCCTGACCCAGAAACAATGCAGCTGGGTTCCTTAACACCATCTCTGCACCCACTGATGCCTCTGCTGAACCATTACAGGGTTCAACCAAATTCCAGTTTAAAACTATCACCTCTACTTTCACCTCCTTTGTTTTTCCCTCTCGAGTAAGACCAATGGAATCCTAAACCAAATTTACAAAAACATGAAATATAGTTCAACTACTGTGAAGTATGTGGGCAAAAGTATTAGTGTTTTCCTTCTTGAGGCTCATTATTTGGACAGAAACATCAACTTCTGACTAAGTGTCAAGAAATGAGTAATAAACTGACATAAAGAAATGAAGACTTGCCAGAACCCCAACAAAAAGTGACAAAAATAATGTAACAGCAGGAACAAGCCAAACATCTTTGTGGGGTGCATTGGGTAAACTTTCAGCCTGATCAATTCCCATGTCTAGCCAGTGACCAGGAATGCATCTGGAGGAGGAAGGGGGAAAGAGGACAGGATGACAGAGCAATGAAAAGCACCATTTCTAAAGGCAACATCAACACATTTTTCTCCAGTCTAATGACTAGCAAATAGCAATTAGCATTTTAAAATCCACTTCCTGCTGTGAATCTATCTTCTAATATTTCAGTTCCATGGCTACAAAATACACTGTGATTGGGAGTTACTTTTTCAAACACAACATAACTTGTACTTTAGACAACATCTGTGGACTAGTTTATTTCCACTGTACAAAACTGCCTGCGATGTAAACTCCTTAAACTCTCCCAAAAAAATAATAAGAAAAACCACTGCAGGCATCTGCAAGAGAAATACAGTGTAATTTCACTGCTGCCATCAATTTGCAGTTTATCAACGCTTAGCTAGAGAAAAAAAGGACCTGCAAACAGGATGTCCTGCTGAGACACAAAGTACAGTGGGAGGTGGGAGGTAAAGCCATGCATCTGCTGAGGCTGCCACAGCCTGCAGTGGGATGAAGCATGAACAAGGACAGTCAGAGAAGTGTGACTATTCATCACCTCCTCTTCACAAACAGGCACTTCCCTGCCTGCTAGGTCCAGGCAGCAAGAGTTTTGACTACACTAAATGCTAGAGCAGACTACAAGGGAGAGGAAAAAGGACTAAATTTCAAGCTAAGGTTTCACAAATCTGTCTAACAAATGCTCCAGTAAGCCCCCAGAAAACGTTGTTAGAGAGCACCCTGACATCTCTGAGAATTATATTAGTGCAATGTGTACTCAAAAAGCTGATTTGGGATGATTTTGCTGCCAACTTTGTCAGTCTTCTAAAGGACAGAGAAAACAGTGCAAAGGATACAGACTCTAAAGCTGATAGGAAAGGTTTGATTCCTAAACTAATGGCTATTGTAAATAGTAGATTTCACTGCAAAACACATTCCTTTCACATGCCATAACATGTTGCCCATGCAGATGTGGTACAGAGGGACATGGCCTAATGGTGGATTTGGCTGTGCTGGGTTAAGATGAACTTAAGGCCCTTTCCAACCTAGATGATTCCAGGATAACCAGCCCATCAAACAATTTCGTTTCCGGAGAGAGACTCACACTGTTCCACCTTGGGTGGTTCTCTCACAACTGCTTTCTCCCCAAGATAAGTCTTTCATTGTGCATACCAGCCAGGAAGAAAAGCTTTTCCCTTCCTTTTAGGATGGTTAAGGCTTAAAGTTCAAAATTTCCCCTTCTTTTTCATCTAGCTTATATATATATATATATATATATATATATTCTTTGTCAAATACGAAAACCCAGTATGATGACCATGAAGTAGGAATTAGTCAAATGCAGAAGTGGGCAAATACTGGATTTTGGCTCAGAGGGTAAACCAGAAAGACAACAAACCTAAACAGGTGATTCTTTTGTTTTGAGATTTACTTCTTTTATGTATCAGTTTTCAAACTGTTCTGAAGTAAAAATACTGCTTCAAAACAGGGTCAGGTGTGTATTTAATAAACTGCAGTAATTTGTAAATAGGATTCTATGGTTGCCTGTTCAAAGCTTTACTTCTCCTGCAATTTCTATTGTTAAAAGGAATGTTACCTGTATCCATTCAGGAATAATATAATTTTAGCATTTACTACTGGACTTACTGTAGTAGTTTTAATTCTTTTGGTGTATGAGCATGAATCCATAGTCTTCATGTTACTTGTAGTAAATATAAACATGAAACAATAAAATTTGCAAACACTAATACAGCAGTTGAGGAAGGTTAAAATTGAAGCAGAAGGAACCAGGGAAAGGAAATATGCTGCATTTAAAACTGATTGTAGCTTTAGTCCCACACATGCTTAGCTAAAAGACAGAAAATTATTTAATAGTAAATATGTTTTCTTTATGTTGTAAACTAAAATCAGTGGCTTGAATTCAGGCCTGTGCTGCTTCTAGATGACCCTTTAAAGGGTCTGTCAGTGGTTTTGCTCTGCTTTTGTAACTTTAAAAACTTTGTGACCATGTCAGTGGTCACAAAACAACTGGAAACAACAACTTATAACAATTACTTTCCTTCAAAAAAACACCTCCTCTACCAGTAGGATTCCACTACAAAAGCCAAAGCATTTATCCCACACAGGCTCTCAGTGCAGTCACACTACACAACAAAGCAAATAACCAGGACTCATAATAAAGTGAAGTACAGTCCATTTAAAATAACGTATATCCTCTGCTGTGTGTTGCATTTCACCTTATTATATACCCAAGAGGTGCCTTATAATGTCCTGATACAACCAAACACTTCAACAAGTAAACTCAAGTCAAACATTGAAAACAAAAATTCCCCTCATTTTGTACTTCTCACAGACAAAAACCCATCCAACAGAAACCCAAGCATCTCCAGAGGCATGCACATTATTTTCAATGAAAAATTTGCTCATAAAATTCTTTCCCACTACATCCTTGACCAGCTAGAGTTATCAACACTGCTGATGTCCTGAGGGCATCTACAAAAACAGATGGCATTCCAACTCCATCACATTGCCTGAACCACCTTCTGTTCCACCAGATGACCCTCAGAGAAAATGTACCTCCATTTTGCAGTTCCTTGCTTTTATTCCTGCACACTGACACAACAGCTACTAACTGGCACATTCTGTAACCCCAGAGCTACAGGTGTT